ATTTTTTTGAACAGAATGGCAGAAGGACACCTGTTTTAAAAAAGCAGGATAATAAGATATAGTTCCTGCCACCCATACAAAAATGCCATTTTCTATGTTAAAAAACCACTCCAAAAAACTGTTACCAGTAGGTTACAGGGTGAGTAGAGGGCAAACAATGAAAAATGAGAGAAAAAAGGTTATAGATATGACTGTGTATAACTAAACATACATTAAAAAAAAGAAAAGCAATAAAGTTCTACTTATTTTTACTGATGTTGCTGGGGTCACACTAGCTCAGAGGAGATGGCTTGATTTATATTCCAGGTGTTTCTCCTTGGAGGCTGAAGGTTTCAGCTTTATTCCCAACATTTCTACAGCTTAATAATGGGGGACAGCAAGGAAGTTTTCTATGTCTTTCCATGATTTTTGTAATATTGAGAGTGGAATTGTTCCGTTTTCTTTTTAAATCAGCACACAAGTTGGCAAAGAATATGATGAAATTTCTTTTACTATCCAATTGTTTAATAAGTTTAATTCATTAATTTGGTGAAATTTTTTTCCTTTTTCTTCAGTGTTGTATTGATACAGTTGGTTTTGACTTTGCCTTTATGCTCTTTAATTTTTTGACATGGAAGTTTGCAAGTCAGGCAGCTCCTATTATCAATTTTCTACCTAGTTTGCACAAACAGATTTATCTACTTAAGTTGCAAAGCCGTGCAAAGTCAGTCCTTCAGTGACCCTTGAGACTCTTCCAGAGTTTGACACTGATCTACATTCCTCAGCTCCTTCAGAATTTTGAACTTTTCAGTGTTTCTCCTCTGCCTTGCAGTTTGCTCGCTGCTGTAAGTGTAATTGTGCTGTGGAGCAGAGCAGTGCAGTGACCCCAGCCCAGGAACAGCTCTGTCAGCACTGGAGCCTGGGTTAGAATCCCCAGGGGAACTCCCCTCTATTGCCAGAGTGCTCCTCAAGTTCCCAGGATGGGAGGCAATGCAAAGGATCTCATGCGTGTGTAACAAACAGCCTCAGGACTGCATGTTAGAAAGGATATTCCAATATTCCATGGAGAGAAACTGCAGCCACAAATAAATTGTTGGCCTCTGTCTCCCTTGTCACACAAGGACCATACAGTTGCCTGGTTTTCCCATTATCAGTCCCCAGTAGTCATCACTAACAGGAACCTTCTATTCATCTTATTTAATGTGACTTTGGATCCAGTGCTCAGTGAAAACAGAGAAAAGAATTATCTATACTTCCATGGGTTTGGCTAAGACCTTCTCAGCTGGAAAATAAGATATATCTCATAACACAGGAAGTACCAGAAGCTTATCCTGCAGCAATACTCGGCCTGTATTTGTTGGATTGGTTTCTTTTGGGCTCCGGTTTAACTCAATGCTATTATTCTGTTCCTTCTGGCAACAAATGAGATCCAAATCCCACTACAATGAATGAATGAAAACACTGCTGGCTAAAATAACTATCATTTTATAGCATTCCTCATTGATAAATCAGTGTAATTACCTTTATTTTCCAGGGCAAAAAGAAAGACAAAGTGAAGATATGTGATTTATCCAAAAAGGCTGACAGCAAAGGTAAAGAATTCCAGAGTCTAAATCCAGGGCTTGACAGAAAAGGTAAAGAATTCCAGAGTCTAAATCCAGGGTTTGACAGATTGTTTCCACCATTAGGGATAATCTGTCAAACATGTGAGCCAATATTCTGTTTTATGTTTTACATACTGTGTTTTCTAGCATAGATTTCATTCATGTTTATGCAATAACCTATATACTATTGGAGTATAAATTAACAGAGTACTTGTGACTTTTTTTCCCTGGTGCAAATTCTCCTGAAAAATTCTGTCAGAAGACTGATTTCCCACAAAGAATATCAAATACTACCTCCTGAGGAAGCTGTGAAGACAAAGCTACTCTACAGCCCAGACTGGGAGTATTCAGTCCCAAACGGGCGAAGTACAAATGTTTCTATTCACACTTTTTTCCTCTTGCTGTCTCGGATTGTCTTTACTTCCCAATGTGTACTTTTGATCAGTAAAGGAGTTAAAAAGGGAACATTTCTCATTTTCCTCCTGCATGTAGGATACACACATATGTTTCCCTGGGCACATCACTCCCAGCTAATGTCTGACTCAGGGGTTTGTGTAGGCTATATGTACATAGAAACATGTATAGGATAGGCTTTATGTGCATAGAAACACCTCACAGTGTGCATTTCTCCAAATATAAAATATAATTAAAACAGGGGCTCTCCACACAACTATTTAATCATAAAATGATTGAACTGAGTGGTGGAAGTTTGCTCATCCCAGCAGCCAGAGATTCCCATCACTGTCACTCACTCCACAAAAATGATTTGTCTGTTCCACAGAGCATGATTTCAGTTCCATGGATATGTAAGGGTGATGACCCCAGTTTCTGTCCTTTCAGAGATTTGCTTTTTTAGGCATGGCATTCATCTTTTCTCTTTAATGCTTATTTTTAGTATATATGATTATCCTTTTTGCAGCAGCACAAAATCATGCTTGATTTGCCTTTCTCCTGGCTTCTTAAATGATTGCCTGGTGCATCCATATCAGGTTGAGGCTGTTGAGAAGGTCAAAGCAATGACAGCCTTCAGGGCTGTGTCAGTGAATGCTAAATTGCCTACTCAGCTCAGCACTACCACAGGCTCATCCACAAATACAGCCAGACTGTGATGCAAGCAGTGCTTGAATAAGCCTCAACTTTCTTTTCCTGACTCAAAGCTTTCCAAATTTTACATTTAAGGCCTGATTTTCTCAGCAGTAAGCATCCTCTCCTCGCCTTGAATTGCAGAGAAATTGCCTTTTGAGAATACAGCTCCTGTAATTCCTACTTTTCCCCCCATAGCAGGAAATAAAGTCTGCAGCTATTGTGAAGGGGTGTCATTCCTTTCAATAGTTTTGTTTCCTTTGTTATGAAAACAAGGAACAGCTTGTTCTCTAGCTGTGTTCATTACATGAAATAAACTGTTCCATTAACAACTTTTACTTTTCTGTGTTGGAAGTGTCCAAAAGGAGGTATGTTATAGCAGCACAGGTAAATTACTTTAACAGGACCTTTATGTCATCTAACTGTAGTCTGTTGGAAGCAAATACTCTTGAAATGACACATGCACTGCATAGCTCTGGTTTCTATCACTGCTATCCACTTTGGGCTGCCTTCCAATACTTTATTTCATTGAGCAGAACCTCACCTCACTCAGGTAAGACAAATACTGCCCAGATTGGGTGTACCTTTCAGAATCTGGCTGTTTATAAACAACGTTTTCATTCAGCTTTGAGTACCACAGAAGTAACCAGACTCTGACAACTGAGATGAGCCCTTACCAACTAACACATAATTACCAGCTTCAGAAATGTTGTCATGCAACTTTCATTCTACAGTGCAGCAGAGAAATCCACCATATTCTCTTCAGCTGCTGCTCCTGGAGACAGTGACCTGTGGCACTGAAAGGCTACAGGAAATGCACAGGTGTCACTACAGACACCAGCTGTACCAAGTGAAGTTGTGCAGGTGCAGCTGAGACCATCATTTAGTACTTGTTTGGGGTGAGCTGTATGCAGCAGACAGAACCCAATCTGAATGCAAGGATCTAAGCTGAGTTTGAAGTCCTGATATTTGGAGAAAAAACTATTTTCAAGAGAATTTCTGACATAAGGTGTGGAAATTTAAGGGACTCAGTGATCCACAGCTTTCTATGTCAATATGTCATGCCCTTTTGTGCCTCTTTTCATGGTTGAACTGGTTTTCAAACAACTGAAAAGGAGATTTGAAACATCTAACATGAAAATTCCAACAAACCCACAAAAACATTTCTTAAATTAGGAAAAAATAAACAATATTCTTAATCTGTTCATATTTCAAACACAATACTACTTTCATAATGGCCTATTATCAACTCTCACCATGTTTTTGGATACTTGTTGAAATCTGTCTCCCCCTGAACATGCATTTCACAAGACACAAGCATATATTCAATTTCATTTTTAAAGAAGTTCTTATTCTGGTCACTAGTTCAGGTTCTGTTCTACAACCAGTTAATACCCTTAATTACAATATCATTATTAGTTTTTATAATTATTTCATTACTTTTGAAGATCATAATGGTTGGGTAAAAACATTAAAACTTTTTAAGTGTGAAACATATCAGTGTAAAGGATTTAATTTAATTCCATTAAAAGAACCAAATGGGTGAGGTTTGTTCTTTTATATCAGTACTACAAAATCATGTTAGTGTTTAATGCTGAGGAAAACTGACACAGGACAAGGTCAGTTCCTAAGCTGCAAAAACTAGGAAAAGTTAGAAGGAAAGAATCATATCAGTCTTCTCTCACTGATCCTGCTTTTAACAAACTCTAGCTCTGCTTTCATTTCCAGCTCCATTCGGTAACCCAGAGCTATAAATATGTGAACCTGAACTGCAAACCCAAACCTCCATGGCTTCCTCAGGCACAGAACCATGGACTGCATGCAGAGAGCAGCACAAACACAGGCCACAGTCCCTTCCATGCACAGCTCATCCTGCTGGAGTGCTGGGCTGATCCTGGCAGGCCGGCTGCTCTCTGCTCCTCTGCCTCCTCCCCTCCACCCCAGCATTCAACTGTTGGCTCTGCATTGCAACACATTAGTCACAAAACTAAAACTCCTTTAGGGGCAATTTTCCTTTGCAGATAATAAACGCTCTGCAGCAGCACCCCCTATATAATTGATATCACAGCAAACAGCACATATGTGACATACGAAAGAGAAGCCCCAGAAATTGTCATACGAAAGAAATAGGGCAACCCCTCCTCCCTTACAAACTAATAAAACAGTCATCAAAGTAAGTGGGGTATTAAGCTCTTAATCTCACTGTATCAACTAATTTGCCCTAAATTGTCACAGTGTTTGCTACAGAGCATATTGCAGTTGAGACAGCCACAACGCACAGAGTATCATAACACAATTTCAGAGAGCTTCAGCCCATACACAGTAACACCTTACCTCTTGAGAAGGCTTCAAGTGTCTGCCCACACAGAGTAACATCCTGCCACTTCAGAAGGCTGCAAGCAACTGCCCCACTTGTTCTGCAGCCCAGCCTTTTATCCCCTCCTGTTGATGCACTGCACCTGTGTCCCTCTGGTCCCTGGGCTCTCCATGGCTCGTTATCCCCAATATCATTCACCTGTCCTGCACAGCTGTAGCCCATTGAGATGTGGCCCCACAGCCCCACTCCCAATTACCACAATTGTGTGCCCACGCTAAATCTCATTAATATTTCACTGAGTGTTCAAAATTGTAGTTTTTGGTTGGGGGGAGGGCTGTCACTTCAATAAAGTTTCTTTTCAAAATGAAGGCTCAAAGCTGCTGCATATACTGAACTCTTTAATGCAGCGACTGCACTGTAGCAAGTTGAAAGGAAATCTCATTAGGAGAGGATTCCAGGACAAAAAAAAAGCACAGTCACTGTTAGTGCCAATTAGCAACTTTTTCTGCTGTTTCAAATGAAGTTCCAAAAAAAAAGAATGAGTAGACAGATTATTTCACCCCAGATGTATTCCTTCAGGTCAAGGGTGAGGCACCTTGTGAGGGTGGTGTTACTCTGTGTTCTGATTCAGCAGCTAAAGAAACTGCCAATTTCTTAACCCAGCAAGAGTCAAAAATTCAGGTCTGTAGTAACAGTAGCACAAAACAAAAAGAAATGTAATTTCTGTCAAAAATGATGGAATTCTTTCTTTCAAAATTAAATGAACGATAATTCAAATGTGTGCAAAGCTGGCAGTACTTTAAAAACAGTCCATGTCAAATCCTAGGGCATTAATCCATTTTAACCATACTATTAACAATTACCATGGCAGGTACACAGGCAGAACCTACATCTTGTAGTCATGGAACAACCAAAACAATATTTCTGCACACTGGATTCAGAAGACACAAGGAATGAAGGAACCAGTGAGTAGTGCAAAGGAAAATCTCATATGAGTTAAAAAAAAATTAATAAGATTTCCGCAGGAGGCCATAACTTTCAAACATCATCAACTCTTCCTCTGATTTAATTCAACTCGAGTTAGAGAAAGGCATAGACAAGCAATGAAATTCACAGCATCTACAAAACCACCTACAAAAATCAGGAAGTACCTGATCCCTCCAGCCTATGAGGGTGTGTAACCACCTGCACCCTGACAGCACATTAAGGATTAATTCACCTCATCTGTTGACACCAATTTATGTTTTCTTTAGCCATGCCAAGAAAGCCTAAAATAATCCACAGCTCCTGATTTCAAAATAATTCACTGACAGCATCTCAGAAGTCAGGATCTCCCTAGACTCAGCACATGTAAGAAGCACATGCCAGTGCATCCAGATAATCATTCTACAGAGGATCTGCAGACTTCCAAGTGAAAAAGTCATATTTTCTGCAAGAAAATACCTGTAGTACTTTGAGAGGTAAAACCAGTGTACCAATGGATCATGATATTTAATCATGGGTGTTTGTTTAAATGAAATTGTGTACTCAGAACTCTTGTGGGTCCTGAGCCAAAGAAAAAAAAGGCATGCAGGAAACTGAAAACATTTTAAGTTCTAGTTAAATTCCTTCGGATGCCCTTCTTGTGAAAGCAAGTCCTTTTCTTGACCATAACTCTGCATTTCTTAGGTGATATTAGTTTTTTCTATCAGGTTGTCCAGCTGGAAAGTCCCTGAAGGGAGCTCCTGCCTCAAACTTGCCTAATGGGAGATGAGAAGGTAAAGTGGTTTTACAGTTGTTGTATTTTGTTGCCAAACCCTTGAAAAGCATCTTTTGCTATATGGAGGAAAAAAAAAAAAGAATGCCCAGTCAAAACAGACAGTCTATATTTTACTGAAAATCTTTACTAGTGGTGTCTAAATGCTCCAGTAACTTCTTGACCATTCTTCACCTGGACAGTAATGCACTCAAGCTGTCAGAGGCTTGTGAAGGGCAGCCACTCTAAATTAAATTTACTGGAACTTATTTAATGTCAATATTTATTTAAAAGAAAACAAAATCAAGTGATCAGGAACAAAGGAATATTTTAAGTTTTGCTTAGAAAGTGAAACTTAGAATAAGTTTGTAGAAAACCTTCAACTGGGTTGAAGAAAGCAGAGTGGACAATGAGATCCCCATGGAGGCTGAAGGGTAGAAACATGTTTTCTTGTGAACAGTTCTCATTTTTTAAATGCTCTAAGCTATTTTTAATGGGTTTCATCTCTACCAAGTTCTCTAAACTTTGTCATGTGTTACAAAATGCAACACATTTGCTGGCATATGTCATTCAGAATAATGAATTAATTTAATTCTGCAGCTCATTACTGCTTTTGACTGTCCCAGTAACTGGCACAGTGACACTCACTCCTGAGTGCTGGAGAGAAGAAAGGATAGGTGTAAACACTTCAAAGACTCAAGACCTGAGTGCATTGGTTTTAACAGAGACATAATCAGTGGGGGCAATAGAATGCCACTTTGGATTAGCATCTTGAAAGCTAAAGAAAAGCCTGCTGAGGCAAACTGGGTGTTTCTACCACTCATGCTGCAGCACTGCACTTGTGCTTGCTGGGAGCTGAGTAGGGAGGATTAGCATGACCTTTGCTTAATGATCAGGGCTATAAACCTTTAGGGACTGGATGGTAAACAAAGCAAAGAGCTGGAAAAGAACAGGAGTCACACAGCTTTCATTACAGATTGTTTTGTTTAGTTTCAAGTTTTAAATCTGGAAGATATTTTATCACTGACTTTTGCTATCAGTTGTGTATCCCAAAGCAAATTTATCATGGGACCTCATTCAAACTGTTAAGGCTAAACTTGTTTCATTTTTATCTACTGAAAAAGTAAAAGCAGAAAACTCAATGCACATTTCTAAGTCACCACTTAGAAAATGACACCACTGCTTATGAAATCTGACACAAAATTTTGGTGTTCCAGATACCTCAAGATCTGGAGAAGTTGATTCTACCTGTGTCATTTGATTCCTTATGTTACCTTGATGGGTCTCATGGTCTTTGTAACTACTAAAACTTGAATGAGAAAATCCAAGTGATATCTTGGTGTCTTTTCTGTAAGATTTTGATGCTTCCATGTTTCCTCCTCTGTTGTCACAGGCAGCACAGCATCTGAGCTACTGCACTGGAGCATGTAGCCACCTTTTGTGCTTCCAAGGGAAAATTGGTTTCAGGAGTATTTAATAACAATATCCTCCATATCTTCAATTTTCTGCAGCCCTCCCTCTCTCTTCCTGAGGCAAAGAAGAATTTGGTTCCTGTCTCTCTATTCCACATTTAACCCAGCCACTGATGACACTCAAGGGGAGTATTTGCTCTTCCCAGAATTGTGCTGTTTGGGCAGAGATAACCAATACTGCCAAAGTTATTGCAGAATGTGATTGGAAAATATCTGGTGGAGAGATTTTTATTGCAGTGCCTTTCAGCATGGTAGCAGCTTATTTGTCATATTCATGACTAACTAAAGAAACACTTGTAAAAGATGCTTCACTTTGACTTAATCATCCCATCCTTTATATATTTAATAAATATACAAAGTAACAAGCAGTTCCACAAACATTGGAACAAATGGAGAAAGATTTTTTCAGAGCATAAGACTAACTTTATGATTCATAAGGAGACTGTAACTAAGGAAAGTCTTGTGAAGATCTCTCTCATTAACCAACACGAGATCCTGACATGACACAAAAATTAGCATATTTACTGGATGTTATGGGGGTGGGTTTAATATTGTGGAGACAATAGAGGGAATAAAATTTAAATTTAAAAATAGCAACATAAATGAAGGTCTATCCAAGATTTGGGCTTTCCTCAATTTTTCTTTAATGTGAATTCTGTGGTGCACAACATACATTGAATTTTAACATCATATGTTCCTTTAAAGAGATTATTTGCCAGGATATTTTGCAAAATTTATGAGAATTTATTATTACTAATCCATTACAAAATATAAAGTTAACAGTAAATTCAAAATTAGTTTACAGGATGATGGCTAACATATTTCCTTGGGAAATCAGGCCAAATTCAAGTGGTACTATTAAAATCACCATAGAACAATCAAAACTTGCAGTCATGCCACAGCAGAACTAGTGAGGTCCAAGTTAAATGTCTTTATTTAAAAAAACCTCAATATTTATTTTTTAATTTGGTTTCAAATACATTCATTATTTTAACTGCTATTTGTAATTTACCTTGGAATAAAAAAAAAAAAACAAAACACAATGTTTTGGGCAACTATTTGAGACTATTCAGGTATTTTGGTATTATTTTTGAGGGATCTAGTTATTGATCCTGCTTTTTGTTTGTTCTATTTTTTCTGTCTTAAGGGGGTTGAGAATGCACCTCTTAAACAAAAATTTATATATATAAAACAAGCACTTTTCTGCTTCAGCAGCACTCCTTATTTTCAGAATAATAAAAATGCTCTCATTAAATAGTAAAATAAATAAGAAAGATAAGTTTGATTTTCTAACGACCTCAGAGTAAGTCATAGATAAATGATCAGGTGTCCAGAAACAGGAAAAGCAGAGGATGACAGAATTATTTATCCACACTCTCGACAACAAGGGACTACAGAATTCAACTGCAGGTTTTGTAATTCCTCATCTCTTGCTTTAGCTACTAGACTAGAGAATCATAGGGAAGAAGTCCTGGAAGAAGCACATTTCCCTCACTGCCTTTGGAATGAAGGTCACACTTCTGGATCAGAGCATCCAGGTAAGCATTCAATGCATTGTAAATTAATGGTTTTCAGTCAAATAAAAAAAAGTCTCCATAGAAAAGCAATCAGGAGGTAGTGTTTATTCCCATAATGAGCTGCCATTAAGTAATTTTTATGCCCAGAGGATGGTGCAAGCCTCTGTTAGAGTGAGGTTGCCATACTGTGTCTAACAATGGATGGATGTCCAGCCAGTGCTCCTGAATAACTGCAGAGGACCCTGGGCAGGAAAGCTCCTTAGTTACAAAGTCACAGATAAAGTTCAGTGCAAGTAAGTGAAGATGATACTGCCAGGATTAAAACAACCCCAATATTACTATGGAGTTATAGTCTTTCAACTGA